CAAAGATGATGACAAGCACGTACTGAGAAATTTCCCAAAGAAGAGGCTAAAACCCTAAAAAACAAAACTTTCGGTTCACGACAATTATCTGCCGTATCCTCTATGAAGAGTTCTTGTTTGCCGGAGAAGAACTGAATGCTCTGCGACTCCTACGATGAAACGTTCTCGGATGATTGAATACGACTCTTCTGTTGGCGACTTTCGCATACTCTCGCCTCACTCGAACCAGTCGGTACACAAGAAATCAGTGACGACGATGGAAGGATAAGAGGGATTGCAGTATGGAATGATCACGCTACAGAAGTGTCATTCGTGTTAGCCAGACAATCAGCTCAGGTCAATAATCTAGCCTAAAATAAGTTGATCGAAATGATGAACTTGAATTGGAGCAACGCGAAATTCTACTCGAAGAACGAAAGAGTCTATATTGATTGTTAAAAGAGTATGATACTTTATTAGAGTTTTATCTACAAAAATGTATTTCTCTGCATTTGACAATCGAAGTGCGAGGTTTCGTTAAGAATATGAACGATTTTCTTAGTTGAATAATAGATCCAAACTATTCTCTCGCTGCTGAATCTCGAGAAATTATTGAGAGGAAATTGACAAATATTCGAATTTCTCTGGAAATTTATGGATATGTCTTGTACGGGCTATGACGTGTCCTCTCTATCATCGGGCGATTATCCGGCGAAGATTTCAATCGAAAGTGATAGTACACCTGCGCATTACATTACTGTCTCTTGAAATAAAACAGAACAATTGGATGTTTCAGCAAAAAATAAGTGAGTTTCTTGGTAAAAGGCAGTCAATAGTAATATTAGGAGATCTGAGCAGTGGCAGGACGACTCTCGTGCGTAGTTTGATACTTGAATTTGCTCAATCATTGATTCGAAATAACGAATGATTCATTCTGAATGGAACAGACGCAGAAACACCTTGCGTGCCTAAGTTAATTAATATTGAAGAATTTGTTGATTGGTTTGAGACTCATTTGATGTATCTCAAAAATGCTGAAAGAATTAGTCAGATCAAATTATTCGACAATACGGTCCAGTTTCGAGCTCTGGATCATATGTGGAAAACTACTAAGCAGCTTAGCCCAACTTGCGATGCTCTCCTGGGCATAATGACTGACGGTAGAAATAATCTAGAATATTGGTGCCTGGAATTCTTTTTACTAACAGACTATAAGGCGTAGATGTGGATAAATGGGTGTCTCTTCACTCACTCACCCACACATCCATACTCATCCTTGCATACATCCGCAAAAGCTCACCTATACTCTCAAATAGAAATCGATATTTGGTTTATAACATCCCTTTTATTTTCATTTGGATCAACGTACTTTTCAGTTTATCTTGATCAGCTGCATGAACATAAGGAGCGAAACCGTCCACACCGCGCGTCGCATAAATTCCGTTCAAAGAATTTTCTTCTTTCCCTTGAGTGATGCCTTCTATTGCACCCGCATTCAAAGCAGCTTCAATTATCTTGATGACTTGATCTGCCGTTGGAATCAATTCAAATCTACTTTCCATTGCGGCAGCAACGGAAGCAACTGCTTGCAAACCAAGATTTGAATTCCATGATGTAACAGGAATATCTGAGTATACACCACTTGCCATAATAGTTTTCCCATCTGAGGCGAGCGGGATATTATCTTTTAGATTCGCCATGCCAGCTTCATTGCCACCATCACCAACTGCGATAATAATACCTCTACCTTTAAATTGGACGAGCATTTCATCGACTGGCGGATTCCAATCATTAATATTTTCACCCTTCATATTGCGACGAATTCCATCATTCCAACTTCGGCTGCAGAGCTCTCCAGCAATCATCGTTTTGGGCTTAAGCTGGTTAATGAGTCTATGCGCTTCTGCAACCTGTTCTTTTTCATCATGACCTGTATAAAATTCGTGAACACAATTGTCATCAGCTTTGATTGATTTCAAACACGCACGGAGAACATTACATGTAACAGGATCAGCAACATATGACACACGATAGGAAAGTTTTCGAAGTGTTTCACCTGCAAGCACTGCACCTGGAGGGCCATCTGTTTCGACTACCGGCACTTTTTCACTATCTACAAGCCTTGCTGTCACACAGAAACCGGTAAGTATTGTAATCGGTGAATCCTTTTCGAGTTTTAACAAAGCATATGCAGCTTTTTCCGTACTTCCTGGTGGTGCATAAAATTTCGACAGGTTTCGCATATCATAGCTGGCCAGAATATGGTCAACTGGAGTAAATGTTTTTGTTTGCGATGTTAGTGATGTGATATAGGATGTGGACGATTTCACAATTTCGGGCACTTTGACATGCATTAATTCTGTTGGAGAAAATTGATCATTTATCGTTTTCTCAGCTTTCGAATCAACGAGACGATATGTGCCATTGATGACGGTTTTGGTCGGACCACAATTGCGCCATAGACAGGCATGATCGGTGAGAAACAATGCTAATTTTTTCATAAACTGAGACATTTTGACATAATGGCGAGGAATCGAACTTTTCCAGTGAAATAGAGTCCTTGAAAGAATTAAGTTGGAACGGAACGATTGTGCAGTGATATCAATGAGAGACTATATAAAGATGACAATCCATGTAAAAAACATGTCCTGAAAAATCAGATTAAAAATATATTATTCTCGAATAATCAAGAAAAATCGGATTTTTCAGACCGACTTTCGATTAAATTAAATCAAAAGCACAATTCTAACCGATTAAATACAAAAAAATCGATTCTAATCGATTAGAAAAGAATCGATCAAAAAGATTTCATAATACATGACAAATTTTAATCAATTACACAAAATAGTTTGTTTTAATTAATTAGAATGTAATCATCTAGAGTAATTTAAGATTAATTGTTTGATTGTAATATTTTGGAATAAAATCACTAAGATTGACTTAAGGTTTCATTGGTGACTCTAATCTATTTCGAACAATAATATATCATAATCGATCGCTTTGACATCGAAGGGAGCAGATTCGGATATAATTTCGAGCATCATTCAATTTATATGAAATCGATTTGAGTAAGGAGGAAAACTTCTTTTGCACGAACCTAGCTTCACGAGTTGTTAGATACTCTTCCTTCACTGATAGAGGCAGCGAGTTTTGAAATTTGAAACGCTTTGAGTAACCGGCAACTAAAAGACCAGTACTCTCTTGATTTTGATTTCCTTTGTAGAAAAAAACTTCCCGGATAGAGGCTGCAGAGACGCATAAAATTTATAGTCGCTCGCTTATCTGCTGGATTTATGGTGGCTTTGTGTGACTTTTGATGCTTGAAATTTTTATGAAAAAACTTTGAACATGATTCTGACGGATCAGTATGTGAAACATAATGGATTCTTTTTGGTTGTACAGAGTAACTTTCTCTAATAAGAGTGTATTCAAAATTTACAATCCAGAGAGATAATTTGTGCACCTTAAGAAAAAAATTTACCCATGTTTTTGATGTTATTTTCGTAGCAAAATTGTAAACTAACGTGTTGTGCACTGAAATAGTTTTTGTAAGGCGAACGCAAGTGTCTTCTCTTCTTATAGAAAAGAGCAAAAAAAACGAAAGAGAAGAACGGAAAGAAAAAAAATAAAAAGTCAAGTTATTCTTGCTCATGTATAGTGTTCTACGCAGATGTGATTCATGTAGCGAATGACATGTTACAAGAGAACTGTGGATAAAAATCATTCAAGCTCTTTTTCTTATCCATACCCAACAAGATGTTGCTCGTTTCTTTAGTTTTGTTTCTCTCTCATACATCTCTATCAAAAAAACAAGTAAGACAATTACAATACAGTGCTAACACAAGCATCGAAAGACATTTGCTGAGAAAAGCAATAAACGAATTCATTACAAATAAAAGTTCTAAGCAATTTGCATCATAATTTCATATTGTTGAAAAAAGTAGAGGATTTTTTCATACTGGAAATGAAACTTGATGACTGAAATGTCGAAAAATATAGTCAGGCGGTGTGGCAAGATGTTGTCAATATGCACTTCGTCGATGATTCCTAGTGGTAGAACGCTGATAGTCGAGGTATATTGCACAGGAATCTAGTTGGATGGATAAATGGAAAACGAAACTAAGTAGTTCATTACGATCAAATTACGGCATAGTTACGCCATAGCTGCGATCACACTGTGACCCGTAATTGCAAAAACTTATGAGGATGGGTGTGGGTCATCTCTACACACACCCACACCTACACCCTACATCCACATCTCACACCCTTGAAGAAAATGTGGTTTTCTATATACCATTCGATGCACCGTGACTCGCTCTACAAAATTACGTATGTACTTTTTTAATTCAAATGGGTCACCAAATCTGACAGAGACCTTTTTTTCGGAAAATTTCATCCTTTTTGATAAAAAATTATTTTTAATTTGAAAATACGCTGTTGTTTTTCTTCAAATACCTTCATTGGATAGAGCAAACAAAGTTCTCTATCACACATAAATTTCATGGGAATCCGTCTTTCGAAAGGATTTCTTCGAATAAGATCTTTGCAAGAGATAGGAGCAAGTTGGTTGGATACTTTTTTTACCAACTATATAAGTCAAATATCGAAGCATTACTTTTTATTTTTATTTTTTATTGACACAGAGCTTAACCAAGTAATTATAATGGATTCGTTTTTGCTAGTTTCTATTTTGCGTGAATTATTTGAATCAAATGCGAAGGCATCTTCTTTCAATGTAGAACAATAACTTATACTCGGCCGATTGATTTTGTCTAATAGTTGTAAGGTGAACAAGTTCAATTCTTCGAGTCACCGAAAGTAGAACATCGTCAGAAAAAAAACAAACAATAATATCTACTTTTTTGTTGAACTAAGATGTTTTTATTGATTTTAGCTTCTAAAACGGATGTGAATAAATATACAATAGTGTATATCACGAAAAAGTCGATTCAGCTGTTGGCCAATTTTCATTTTCGATCGTTGTCAGAGGTGATGATAATCTTGCTGATTTCCATCGGAACCCATGTGGCAAAAATCGGGAGAACATCGACGCCTAAATGCGATGTATCATGTCGATTAATTGTGAAATTATATCGCGGTAAAACCACTAACATTGGTGATTTTTCCCGATTTTTTTTCCACATCGTGATTATTAAAAATTCTCACATAGAACATCCAAACAATCTGATTACCTCCGATCCAATTCCTCTTTGTTAATTCTTCCTTCTCAATGTTTTTCCGTAATCTTGTTGTAGGATAGATTAGATATAACTTAATTTAGATAGATCCTGATCTAGACTAAAATAATTCTCTCAAAACCTTTCAGCATCACCGATTGATCAATCGAAAGAAACGAATCTGAAATCGAACATCCAATGGTTAGCCTACTTTTCAAATTCTGAAAATGGTTTTGAAATTAGAAATAACTAATAAATGCTGGTTTTTTTTCTTTCCCAAACGAAAGAACATCTGACATCGAGTTTAATATATAAAACAGGTGTCAGAGTTTTATTAGAATGAAATCGAGGATTAATCGTTTAAACATAGGTGATTTTGGCGACATGGGAGATTAAATGCTCAATCAAGTTGATCGTTTTTTAAGTGGAAACAAATCTAGGATGGATTCAAGATAGAATATTAATTTTTTAATATAAAAGATTTAATGGAACTAGTGTTGAGTGGTTTTTTTTTAACTGCAAGCAATATTCATCAGATATGTACTGTTTTCTCTGTTCAAATTCAATTCCATTTCAACTATTCACATACATAGGTCAGTTGAGTGCAAATAGAAAAATAGATATAAACTTCACTAAAGAATGAAACAGTTCATTCGAATTTTCTGAATTAATCTTTACATGCAAGGTAGTGAGTAATGATCAAAAATGTTTCTTGCTCGAACCAAAGATAGAATATTATATGATATCATTAGACATCTAGCTTTAGATCAATTGAAACTATTAGATCATTTCTATTCTCATCTAAGTTTCTGTACAAATGGATCTCTACCAAGAACGCTTCGTATTGAATTGATTTATATTTTCAAACAGTTCGTAAGTGTTCAACTTTATTTTAGCTCGTTTG